GAGAGAGAGAGAGAGAGAGAGAGAGAGAGAGAGAAGCAGAAACAGAATGAGGGAGGGACAGCGAGAGGGAGAAGAAGTGAGAGAGAAAGATATATTATATATAATGAGAGACGGAGATAAAAAATAAAAAGGAGGGAGAGAGAGAGACACAGAGAAAGAGAGAGAGAGACAGACAGACAGACAGACAGACAGACAGACAGACAGACAGACAGGCGGAGACAGAGAGAAATAGAGAGAAAGAAAAGAGACAAGCTATAGAACAAAGAGATGAAATAATGCTTAAAGTTATAGACTTTGCTATTCCCTCCAGGTGCAAGAAGAGACCCGGACTAAGGTGATGGGCGTCCTGGACATTTATGGCTTTGAGGTGTTTGAGGTGAGCGCCTGACCAATGTGTGTCTGCCACATTACTTGCCTGACAGTAATAATAATAATAATAATAATAGATAGCACTAGCTGGGCCCCCTTTCGATGAAAGGAATTTTTTTAAATTGAGTTATTGAGGAACAGTACGCACGGCTAGTGAACGGAAGCCTCACTTGTTTACAATGTCGTCTTAGAAAACGGACTTTCCCAAGATTAGATGTAAACGAAACTAATGAAAAACTGAAAATATAGCTTAGATCTATACGGGTCCTACACTTAAAATGTGCTCAGTAGTGTGCGAAAATGCGTGATAGTATCGGACGAAAGTACGACTTGAAATAAACCTGCCGGATTTTCTAAAATTACAGAGACGGAAGCGTCAGCCTACAAAAGCGATTGGCGAAATAAACAAATTTAGCTTTTTGCTGCACAGCTGTTTCAAAACTGAAAAAGCGAAGGGCGTCATGATCGGGAGAATGTTTTAAAGAATCTTTTGGCGAAAACCGAATGTCGATCGATGCAGCTATTAAAAAGCCTTTTGAATAGCAAAATTTGGCCACCATAAATAGATAATAGATTTGTATAGCGCTTCACTCCGAAGGGCTAGAACCCAGATGGCCGCTGGATTGGAAAAGTTAAGTAAAGTTGTATAGCGTAAATCCCTGCTCAACAGCAAGCTCTATGCTCTTCACAATCTATACTATTACCCCAGCAGTCTGAAAAAACCTCAGCTTCCTGGGAAGCACACAGTGCAAGCAGCCATTTTTAGGCTCCAAAACACTAACAAGATCTTTCACTGTCTATGGCGGAGTACCCATTCTCACCTGGATGAAGTGAGGAAAATTTGTGAAAAGTACCTTTCCCGAGGACACAACATCGGGCCCCATGGCTCGAACCCCCGAACTCGCTACCTTATGATTACGAGTCTGGTAGCCTAACCACTAGGCCATCGATGCCACAGTACTGGAAACTGTGATTGTTGGTGGTGCCAAAGTTGGCAGTCACAAGTAGACACGTTTGAACGATAATGGGAATGAATTATGGCTTCCGTCGTCTTGTATGTTTGTGGGGTTTTTTCAATAAAAAAAAAAAAATTCACTTTTTATCCCAGTGTAGACATTTGACTTGTAGAGATAGGTACCCTACATGCCAACAAGAATTCATTCTATACTATAATACTCTGTTGCACACCAACCTGTACAATCAAGTCTTACAACACAGTGTCCTGTTTTTGAGATTGGGTGATGGTAGTGTTTTGCTCGAGGACACACCTCAGTGACCACCTACCTAAACCACCTGCTCGACATGACTTTTGAGTCTGCGCCCACCATTTCACTACCTTCAGGGCCCACCATCCTGACGAGTTTTTGCCATAACTTCTTCTGTGAAGGCTACAGTCAATAAAAGAGGGTTTTGTTGTGTGTTTTTTTTCCCCAGACAAACAGTTTTGAGCAGTTCATCATCAACTATTGTAACGAGAAACTGCAGCAGATCTTTATTGAACTCACTCTGAAGGAGGAACAAGATGAATATGTCAAAGAGGTGAGTGGGTGGGGAGGGTACGGAAGAGATGGGGTGCAAGAAAGATTTAGGACAAGAACGAGGTGGAAGGGGGGTGGGGGTCGACAGAAAGAGAGGAGAAGGGAGGGTTGAGAGAGAGAGGGAGAGGGGAAGGGGGGTTGAGAAAGAGAGGGAGAGGGGAAGGGGGGTGGGACTGGGCGACAACGAAGCGGAAACATAATTATGTCCGACCAGCAGGAGAGCAAAGGCAACGTTTCGGCACATCTCAAACCACCCTACACAACACAAAAAGATGAGTTTATTTATTTCATTATAGGCTATGCATTTTCTTGCATATTCAGATAAAGAAATCAGATTCTAAAAATCAGTTTGATTTATAAAGTTATGCCCCGGAACAGCGCACCATTCAAGCATTGTCGATTAACTAGAATGCACGTCCTCAATGTGTTAAATGAGGTGGGGTTGGCCTGGGGAAAGGACGAAGTAAAAAGGAGAGAGAGAGAGAGAGAGAGAGAGAGA